TTGATTTCTTGATCCCACTTCCCCAAGCCTGTCCCTCCCCCAGTACTTCCTGTGTTGGTAAAGGCTAACTTCCTTCACCCACTTTTTTAAACCACAAATCTTGGAGTCATCCTTGAATTTTCTGATGACCAACTATATCCAGTCCATTGACACATTCTATTGGGCCTCCCTTCAAATTATATTTGCATTCTAACCATTTCTTACCATCACCAGCTCCTAGAAGACTCCTCGTCTCTGAGTGGACTATTGCAGTAGTCTTATTACTGGTCTCCCTGTGTCCATTTGTCCCCTTACTGCACCCAGGGTGACCCTTTTAAAATGCCAAGTCCCTTTTCCCCTTAGAACCTTCCAAAGGCACATCATCGTCCTTAGAATAAAATATGCCATCCTTATAAAACCCATATGTGATTTGCCTCCACCAATACACATACCACCAATACACACACACACCTGTTACCTGCCCTCCAACACCTCCCCCTGATTTGCTGTCCTATTTCTTCAACCCCCAGGCATATGCTATCTTCAGAGCCTTGGCGTTCACATTTCTCCCTGCCTGAAATGCACTGGGTTCACATGGCTCACCCTCCACTCAGATCTCTCGGTAAAGCTCATCTTCATACCTACTACAGCGTCCCCCCCCACCAACAGACCTAAAACAGACACTTTGGACATTTATATCTCCTCATAACATCACAACCTTCTGACACATCATATGTTTATTTGTTTCTTGTCTTCCCCATGGGATGGAGACTCCGTGAGAGCAGAGATGTTTTCTGTGAGTCCATGCTTTTCCACAAGGGCCTAAAAACAGTGTTCAGCACAGAGTTCAGTGTTGCCTGATGGGATGATTCTGCCGGACTCTGCTCAGTTAGTTATCAAGTCCACCCGTGCCCTGTTTGAGTGGGCAGAAGTTCATTAACTCTGCTGGGTATCAGAGTCATTGGGGAGATTGCCTAAAAATGCATATGCTTTGCCTCTCCCCACTGGAGATCCAAATGCAGTAGATTCTGGGGTAGAATCTTAAACATTTTTGAACACGCTCCCTGGGTAATTTTGATGCCTGAGGTAACTGGACCATACTTGGCCAAACACTGCCTCAGTGGACCAGTTTACATTTATCTGTTGCTCTGTTCTGTCGAGTATCATTTCGTGTATATTAGCAGTGCTTGAATCACCTGGGAACCTAAATATAGACCTCATATCCCCACCCTAGATCTGGTGAATCAACTTGCAGGGATATTTCTTGGGAATCTGTATTTTTTGAAAAGCTCCTTTAGTGACAGTGTTCCCAATAGCCTTTGGGAGTCTCAGCTGTGTTTTATAGGCTCCTTGAGGAGGATACAAACTCAAGAGCAGGTGTTCCTTACATCTTTTTAGGCCAACTTCTCTTCTCATCCTTCACTAACCCAACAGTGTTCTACTCAGAAGTGGTATTCAGTAGGTTACTATGCCATGAACACCTTGATTTATCCATGGTTTCGATTTGCCTTTGTAACTTAAACATCATCCAATCTGTCTAACTACATTTCAGTCCAGGCCATTCTCTGATTAGAGGCAGGAAGCATGTCTTAGCTGCCTCGCTAATTCCAGTGGGGATTCTCTTTGCAGTGTTTTCTGGCAATAAATTTAAAATGCGTTTCCTAGGTCAGGCCAGGCACATCACCCATCTTCATACTTAAACGCTCACCTATTCAACCTTCCTTTTGGACCTGTACTAGGGCACACAGCCTTAGCCTCAGGGCGCATCCACAAGACTCCACAGCGTCCCTGAGGATGGCATCAAGACCTGACCCCTTGCCCTGGGAGCTTATCTGGGCTGCTCAGTCTGCCAACGGAAGTGTTCCCCTGGATTAGATTCCCTTTGGGGCCTGTGGCCTTGCCCTACTTTTTTTTGGTTATGTCCTGTAACTATACATAGACAGTCTTTACAGCTGGACAGGTTTTTTTTTAAGATTTTATTTATTTGCCAGAGAGAGAGAGAGCAAGCGAGTACACACAAGCAGGCAGAGAGGCAGGCAGAGGCAGCGAGAGAAGCAGGTTCCCTGCCAAGCAAGGAGCCTGATGTGGGACTCGATCCCAGGACGCCGGGATCACGATCCGAGCCGAAGGCAGCGGCCCAACCCACTGAGCCACCCAGGCGTCCCACAGCTGGACAATTTAAAACTAAAATCAAAGCATTGCCAAGAATCAAAAAGTAAATGAGTGGGGAATAGACGGGGGCAGGTGATGATACTTGCAGAATTTTATTCCTTTTCTAGTCTCAGAGCTAGTCTCTAGGTTGAGAAGAATCACCCATGAAGGCCCAAAGCCCTTGGTTAACCTATTTTCTCTTCTCTTCTCTTCTCTTCTCTAATTTTCTTTTCTTTTTTAGTGGTATTTTGAGATTTAAAAAAAAAAAAATTATTTTAGAGAATGAGCAGGGGAGGGGCAGAGACAGACGGAGAGAAAGAATCCCATGCGGCCTCCCCACTGAGCACGGAGCCCAATGTGGGGCTCAGTCCTGGGACCCTGAGATCATGACCTGAGCCAAAATCAAGAGTCAGACGCTTAACCGACTGAGCCACCCAGGCTCCCCTTGGTTAACCTGTTTCTTTAGTAACCGAGTCCCCGTGGAGTATGCACTCTGGACTTTGGGTGGCCAACTGGTAACCTTTTTTAATATATTGAGTTTGTATGTATTCTTTGCAGAAGATGTCCAGGTCATTATTCAAGGCAGAATCTAAAAAGGAATAGCGTCATTTAGGTAAACCCAAGAAGCACTTCAGAGCACACACTGTCTTGTACCTTGGAGTTTTGCCTCTGGATAAGCCACAGATTACATTTCGGTTCCAGATGTGAGAAACCATTAGTAATCAGGACAGCCCCCTTGGGAAATCCTGTTCCCAGTCCCTCTTCAAGAGAATCACTGCTTCCTCTGGAATATTTGTTTGGGGGGCTCCGGAGGCTGCCATTTAGTGACAAAGGGGAATGAATTGACCCTAGAAAAATAAGAATGAGAGATTTCTAATGAGATCTGACAGTTCAAGGACTGAAGAAAGAATCTAAGCTTTTTTTAAATTTTCCTGCCCACCCAGTCTTCATACAAATGTAAATATGCCTCCTTCAACAAATTGCCAAATGTGGTTTTAATTTGTAAGCAGGAGACCCTGCCTTGCCGGTTTCTTTTCTTTTTCTCTCTCTCTTTTTAAATCGAAGTCACAGGTTTTGCACTTTTTGAACTGGACATATCCTCCTGTCACTCCATCATGTTTTCTGTTGTCCTTCTCCTTCCAAGGACATTTTCCCCCATTGTTTGTGATCAGAGGAATTTGGGACGAGAGTCAATTGTCATGTTTCTTAAAGCAGTTTTTGAAGTTCCCATAGGAAATACACAGTGCTCTTTAAACTGAATTTAAAAAATAAATAAATAAAGGCAGAGATTGGATCTAGTATGAGATTTGAAGAGTGTCACTATCGCGGCATCGTACTTTATGTGGTCTGCGTAGTATCCATTGTTGTTATTTATGACCCTGTCTGCCTTCCATTGTGGACTTCTTCAAGCCTTGGGGAATTTACATCATTCCTAATAGCAAAAGGCTTTCTGGTTCCCACAGAGTTGTTCAAAGCCTGACTCATGCTCCTTATGTTAATTGTTCAACTCTGAAAATACAGCACTTACAGGGTGTGGTCGTAAGGGGAAAATCTACTGTACTTATAGGGCATGTTTAGAAGTGTTTCACACATAAATCTCAGTCTCTCTCTCTCTTTCTCCTTCTCCCCCTTTCTTCCCCCTCTCGCCCCCTCTTTTCCCCTTCCCCCTCCATCTCTCTCTCTCTCCTTTAACTTTAAAACTGTAGCTCTATTTGGTCAAGGGGAGAAAGGGAGAAGCATCAAAATGCAGTATAATCCAATAAAACCTACGATATCCTGTTCACTAACTCTTAAAACTGACAGGTTATAACTGGATAGGACTATGAGTGTCATTGATCCAGGTCTGAAACCATAGGAGAGATTAGTAGGAATTGAAAGCTTGTACTCAGTGGTGTGGGGCAGTGATTGTACAAAGGTCACAGCACTGGCCTTAGGGGCTCCCTGGCATCATGCTGACGGCTGCTGTCTGCCAGGCATTCTGGGATTGCCATTGCTAAATTCCAATGTGAGTCTAAAGCAAGGGACCTACTGATAATTTCCCAGAATTGTTCCTTATGGCCTCAACATTTTACTGTGGAATTTGGTAGAGAAGGGCACTTACTCTCCCAGAAAATGAGAACAGATAACACCTTGTCTGCATTATCTACTTGCTTAACAAAAAGGAAATGATTCCAAAACTATGAACTAGGTTAATGGTGGCAAAGATTGGGAGTTTTTGATGTTTTAGAAGTACTTCTGTATGACGCTTCCTTGGGAACATATAAGGATAGATAAACAGATAATCTCTGAATTAATGTAAAACTGTGGTGGTGCTGTTAGTTTAAGAAAAAACTCCCAGTTTTCTGGTAGCCAGGAACCACAAACTTCAGTTTTCAAAGTACCGGTATTCAAAGGCTTTAACTCAACTCCTGTAACCTTAAGTATTGCAAAGGCCACGTTCTGTATTTTTTGTAAATAGAGAAAATGTGTGGAATTCTTAGGCTAATTAGGGTGTAGACCATGGTGCCAGCGGGTCTCTCTGGAAGATCGGAGCTCACACACATGCTGCTGCCTGGCCCCACGATGCCGGCTTCATCATACTCGGGCCCCAGAGATAGCAGATACTGGCCAAGAGTTCCCAGATAGTTTGGATCCAACATCCTTTCTCTTACAGACTTGGATGTCTGTGGTGCATATTAACATATGAACTGTGTTGGGTAGGAGTCCAGAAAAAGTGACCATTTACTCAAAAGTTCTAGATTTAAAAAAATTCAAATAGCCTGACACTAAGTGGTCTCATCTACGTTCAATGGGGCATTCAGAGTAGAACTGTTTTTTCTCATGTTCAGCTCATAGATTTCTGGTTGAACCTTTGTTATCTTTTGGAGTAGACGGAAGGAGCTCTCCATGGAGCGTCTGATTATTTTGCTGAGTGTGCGGAGAGTCGACTTCCTCCCAGTGCAAAGCGCAAGAGAAATGCTCTGAAAGAAATGTAGGTCTGACCAGTTTTCTTTTCCTTCTTTTTGATTCTGTGCATGTGTCGGGGGTGGGGGGTATGGATATGTGACAAGAAGTCTGGAATTCAACAGGAGTTTGTGGAAATTAATCACAAAACCCCCTCTGGCACCAAACTTACCCTAAATCCCATGTTTGCCCTTCTGCCTTCCTGACTCTCTCTTGCAGTGGGGAGCAAGTCCTTGCCTCACAGGTGTGTTGCAAGGAGTAATTAATTACAAGTGCTTTGAAGATGAAAAGCACCTGTTTGCTGGTGTGTTTCTTACAACTTTCCAAGTGACTACAGACCCATCTAAAAAAATACATTCCTTTGCTGAAATGCAGGTTCCAATTCTAATATAATTATGATAATCCTCAAGCCTCTGATTAGGAACAATAAGAACATGAGTGTGTGTGTGTGTGTGCTTGTATGTGTGTGCGTGCATGTGTGTGTGTGTGTGTGTGTGTGTGTGTTTCCAGACTAAAGCTTAGCCAAAGTAAATATTTCAGCTTCAGTGTTACGAGTTTGGTGGTTTAAGAAATTTCTTTGCTATTCACAAGCCTGCAAATCTGTGTTGAAGTCAGTATCTGCAGTCTCTTGATTCTCCCCATGCAGCTCTTGCCCTGCCCCTCAAAGGGAATTTTACAGTCAGAGTGACGTTTGCATTGCCTTTTGTGTGTGCTATGGAAAACGTGTGTGTATGTGTCTACAAGCACGTCCTTGTGCACGTGCGTATGCACACACACAGCCTGTGCTTTAGATGTATCTGATCATTTACTTCTGGGGGAAAAAATCAATATATAAAATTTAGGCAATATTGACCCTTCACATCTGAGACGACCACCTGCCTGCCTTAGTTAAATGAGATCCATCATAACTCCAATAGAACTACATTGAAAACCCAGTGATCAAGAAACAAAGCCTGTCCTCATGTATCTTAATAACTAATCCTCGTGTGTTGGAAAATGCGATGGCTATTGCTTGATCAAGTCTGAATGTAAACATAACACTTAGGGATTGTTCTAGATTTGCCAGGGAGGTAAGGGAGAAGGAACGGTAGCACGTGCCTCCTTTTCTAGGTCTGGGAAACATGATATGCGGTATAGAAATTGGAGGACAGCATGCCATTACAGCTTTACAAAACAAAACCAAAAAAATCTTTCTTTGTTTTAGTGTGAAAAGAACTGAAACGAACAGCAGCGTTGTGAGCAAATCATGGAGCAGAAGGGACATTGTGGGAACATCTAGTGACCGAGAGATTGCGGAGATAGCGAGGAGGAGGGGTGACAGTCCGGCTTCAGCCAGTCCCGCGTCAGAGTCCATGGGACAAGCAAAAGATTACATAAAGGCAGCTGAGAGCCACTGGGGGCTTCCTGTTCAAGAGCTGGAAAATGTTCATCAGACCCAGCCTGAAGACACTAGTGGCCAGTAAAAACCTCATCTTGGGGAGTGGTTAGAGACAGGCCTTCTAAGCAGGAGCCCTGTCTGTAGCTGTGAGTCAGCATCACCAGGTCCAAAACAAAGTCCACAAAGGGCCAGAGTGCAACAGAAATGCAGGAACCACGGCTCTGCAGAAGACGTCGACCACCACAAGAGAGTTTCTCTTGGAAGCGATCAATTAGTCCCAAGAGAAATCGTAGTAGAAAAAAGCAAAGCTGTCAGGGTTTTGCCAGCCTCAGAGCTGTCAAATCCGGGGTTACTTTTGAAACGAGGTTTGGCAAAAACGGCATCTAATGAAGAGTTGCATGTTTTGGAAAAATCTCTCCTCCGGACATCTTACAAAAAATCAGCCAAGGCAGGCACAGCAGACCGTCTCAACCACAAACACTGAAAGATTATCTGCAGTCCGGGGCAGCCCAACCAAGAAAAGAAAGAAGTACGAAAGAGGCCACTAACTTACTAACGGGGATTGCTGAGTTGTAGTTGGGTATGTAATGGCTGAAGGTGCGGAAAGAGAGGGGTGTGTGCAGCTGTCCCGACGTTGAAGGAATTAGAATGATTATTTTGCATGGAAAATAGAGCTCCATGTGAGGATTCTTTTTTAACACATTCATCTCCGGGAGGCTATGTGCTTTTTCTAACAACACTGCCACTTTCTCATCATACTTCTATAACTATCTTCAGAGCCCTTCACCTCGTCAAAGATGACCCCCTTCTTGAAGGAACTGCACAAAGAAACCAATCGTGCGCCTTCATGACTCATCACTGTGCAGACCATACAATGGGCCACATGAAGACAGTGCTATATTTGGGGGGACAGTTTCTGTTCCTCAGCCTGAGTCAGGCAGAAGTGAAGGAACAGGCTAGTGGTCCTCAACATCTGGTTCTGGGCCCCGCATCACTGTCTGAAAATGTGTTAGAAATGCAGACCTTGGGCCCCACCCCAGACCTACTGAATGAGAAACTCTGGGTGATTCCAAAACATGCTCAACTTTGAGAACCACTGGACTAATTGAAAACTCCCTGGTGTTTGTTTCCTCCAGCCTGGTTCCCAGGGCCTCCAGCTCATCAGCCGAGGCCCGCATGTGGACAGGCACCCCCTCGTGTTCCGTCAAACTTGTAAAACACCTGAGTTTGTCGTCTGAGCTGCTCAGTTCCTGGTTTCTCTACGGCATGGTGGCCGCAGCACCCACAAATCTGTCACCCTAAGAGGTGCTAGAAGTTTATGGGTCATTTGGCCCAGCATTAGAGGGAGACAGTGGAGGGAGAGGCTTGCTCTCTCTTGTAGCCCAGGCGTGCGTGTCCGTGTCCCTGTCCCAGCACTTGCCCCCAGCTCTAAGATTTCAGTTAGGTTCAGGAAGGATTAAAACCCAAGGGGAAATCAGTGGCCAGAGTTTCCACTTTCCCAGTTGGAAGGCGTCACAGGCAGTTTGAATTTCAAAACAGGAGCCTTCCATTTGCAGTATCACCCACGAATGTCTCCAGTGGGCCTGCTGAAATGTCACCGAGTGAATCATAGCAATGACTTATTTTGGATGGATACCTACTAAAGATTTTCTTAACCCAATTTCACCCTAAAATAGGAGAAAACCCATATTCAAAGGCCACCCATCAAATACATCTTTTTTTTCTCCTCAACATTTTGTGGTCCTTTGAAGTAGCACTTCCCTAGTAACAAGGAAAATTAAGTATATTCCCAGAGTGTTGGAGTTAGCAGAAAAATGGCCCAGAAAACGTCCAATGAAATAAAAGAACATGGAAACAGACAGAGTGTAGGTGGTTCAGAATGCTTAAAACTAATTGTGGTTTTGTTTCTCCTAGCTCATTCTATGCTTGCCTGTGACTCCTTTCCCACTTGTTAGGGTAAGACTCCTTAAGAGGCAACCATGAGGTTCATGAAGTTCAGTGTTGGTCACTATGCCTAGCTGTGAACGTAGATGCTATTCCTTTGATGTTCCCCAGGTTGCCTGGACACCTGTCCCCTTCTCGTGGTCCCAGACTCACCACCCCGACCAGGAACATGGCCCTGCCCATCTGTGTCCTTTCCTCTTCCCACAGGTTTTTCTCTGCTCTTAGCTGATTCCAGTTAAAGCATTCTGCAGGAGAAGAGGGAGCCCAACAGAGTACTAACCACAGTGAGTCAAGTTAGTTAGTTAGTTAGGGAGCAGATTGTATTCATCCAGTTGGGGTAGACAGCACAGAATGGAAATGCTCCACTGGGGGGCCCCTCTCTTAGAGCGGCAGCTATTCTAGGTGTGCTCTTTCCCGAAGACAGGAGCAGAGTGTGTCGCTGAATCTTCTTCCAACAGAATTCTTGGAACGGTCTAAATAGAGAGGGCCCACATAACAACCCAGGTGACCGGCCAAGAAACAATAAGCTCCCGGAACAGAGTCTTGATTAAAAAGGGCAGCCATTCCAGAACAAGAGCTGCTGCTAACCCAGAACTGGGAGATGTTTGCAATGGAGGCGCCAGAGAAAAGCTTTTAATTGAAAAGTTTTTATTTCATTTGTTAACCGGGGCCTGCACAGTGGGTACAGCCAATCTTTATGATTTAATGATTTTCTCTCAAGAGCAGCCTTGGCTTTAGAGTTTGATATATTTGTGGAAATAACAATTGCTGTGACCTCAGAGGGAAAATAGCATCTGTGGTTGTAGGCTGATAGGGTCTTCCTCACTGCCCACATGTACATGGGATTGTCACAGGATTAACAGAGGGAACAGCTCTCCCCTTCCGCACTGGGGCATGTGTCTGAGGAATTTTGCCTTTAAGCATTTTCTTCCACATGTCTGAAACACCCCCGGATCTCTTATTACTTGAGTGGTTGTGCGATTCTTTGGATGTTTGAAAGTACAAAGGGGAAAATGGCTGCCAGGTTTTATTGTTGCTTATTAGCTGGGAAATGCAGAGTTCCCTATGACTGGGAGTGGTTTGTGTGTTGACACTCTTAATAATCTTATTAATTCCACATCCGATAATCTGAGAGGCTGTCAATATTCTTAGTCAAAAAGAACAAGTTCTTCAACCACTTAACTTAATAACCCAAACTCAATTTATGCTCAAGTCCCTATAATTCTGATGCTTGGGATCCACTTCTGTTACTGTTACAACTTTGAACTCCCTAACTTTCTCAATGTCATGGCTTCTAAGTCACATCCATGTGCTTTCAGATGACTTTTTAATAGATTGATGTTGAGTTTTGTGTTTTTGTTGTTTTTTTTTTAATGTCTCTAAACAAATGTCTGAGGACAGGCAGTGCAATTTTTCTTACACTTTTTTTTTTCTTTTCCACTGGAGGTTAACTATTGTCCAGATACGCATATAAATTATTAAAGGCAAAGGAGCAGCCATTCGGGGATAGAGGAGTGAGTGCTATAGCTTTTTTATTTATGTAAAAGAAGTAAGAAAATGTATTTCATTTTATAAAAAGCAAGAATCATTAAAAATGCTCTAGTTTGATTTATGGAGAATATAGCTTGTTTCTTATCTCAAGATATGTCTCGGGGACAACAGTGGGATCACAGTTAATTGTTTGCTTCTGGTGTCGTGTTTGAATTTTAGTATGAATTGTTTTGCATCACACGGCCTTTGATTTTAGCAAGAGCTTGGTGAGGGCAAAGCACATAAGGGAAGGAAACCTCTGTGCCCAAGAGAATGGCCTGGGATCACAGTACTGCCATTCCCGGTTTCCTTGAATTCCTTCTTGGCAGGCCCCACTGTCCTATTTCCACAGAATTTTAGTGAATGGCCTTCCTTTTGAGGTAACAAATGCCTTTCCTAAGAGCCAAAAATCCTCTCTTCAGCATTCCATGACTTGAATATGGGAATCATTTTAGTTTCTTCTTTGCTCTTATGAGGAAATTTCCATGCTTATTTTGTTAAGACGATAGAGTTCATTCCGTGTTGTTGAAACACTAATGAATTAAAACTTGGTGGAGCAAGTAAAAAATCAAAATTAAGCTGATTTCTGTTAAGCAGTTTCAGATCTTCCTTAAGTAAATTAAGCATTGTAAAATGATTATTAAAGGCAAAGGAGCAGCCATTTATCACTGCAGTGATAAATAATTGCAGATAATTACTCAGGACAGAATATAGATCATTGGTATTGCAATTTAATGATATAATTAAATTCTCAGAAATCTGCAGAACTCCTTCTAATTTGGCTTCTATATTTATTTAAGAAGACAAGGAACAAATACCTGTCAGGGTGTGCACTTACCAGAGGGGACTTGAATGGATGAAATTATTACCTTTAATTGTGGCTGACTACTCAATACTGGACTTTAACCACGTTCAAGTAAGTTTTATTATGCAGCATAATATTACCATGTATTACTTGATAATTGCTTTTAGAATTGCTTATCAAAAATCTTGATTTTTTTTTTTAATTAAAGAAGAATCAGTAAAACCATATTATGACCCCAAAAACATCTGATCAGGTGACCATAGATGTGGATGTGAGAGAATCCCAGAATAAGTTTTATTAATCAAGGTAGGAAGCCAGACGCTGCAGCCATCACCAGGAGAGTTCTTTCTCCCCATCGCCTTTATCCTGTCGTTTGTTTTGTTTGAACTACTTCAACTACAAAAGAGTTGAACGTGTCTGAAGGTACATGGATTAAAGTGGTATGTAGAGGAAACAAACCTGCTTTATAAATAAAAAGGAAAATTGTTTTAAAACATTAAATTAGTGTGTATCACTTTCTCCAAAGCAAGGGAGTTCACCCCAAGGAGTATATATCCAAAATGCCCTTTTCTGAACATGCGATTTAAAATTATATTCTCTTAGAGATTTTTTTTCCTGCTTGAAACAACTCTGAGGTTTTGAATACTATGTTAAAATAATCCCAAGGAGCTCTGCTTCTGAACATTTAGGTCTGGAAAACCCTGTGTGAGGTGTAAGATTCCGGGGTGGTCTTTACAATGCAGATATGTTCTCATTTCTTCCAGTTGTGAGCTAAGGGAGATCCCTCTTGTGAGAGGTTAAAGTATGCAACCTTGACTCCTTTCCAGAAAAATCTTGACATTTCCCAAGTGGATTCATTTCCATTTTCTGAGTGGATCTAGTCCTTGTTCATCACTGAATAAAGTCCTGGGCCAACTCTTCGTCTACACTGTATTTTAGGACAGGATCCCAGGCCCCTCTGATTGCTTGTATATGTATCTCCCCTTGGATCTGTACATGATTTTTCAGAGGCGTTTCAGTATGAGGTTGGGATCATACACTTGAAAAGCATGAAATGCTGAGAACCACTGCAGTGATAAAACAAAGTGCCTTTCTTAGTGGTTTGCTCCTGCTAGCGCGCTGGCTGGCCCAGCCCACGGGAAAGCTGGCCTGCCCTGGGCTGGGGATCCAGAGACTGGAGATGGTCTGGTGCTCCAGGCTACAAATCCTGGGTTCAGGCTACTGCTTTACCACTAACTGGTTTGTGTGTTTTGGGACAAGTCACTCAACTTCCCTGGGCCTCAGTTTCTTCCTTTGTCAAATAAAATTCTCTCTCCTATTTTAAGTGCCACACTGAAGGTGAACTTCCATGTGGTAATTTCTGTAATCATTTTAAGAAACACGTTCTTAGCACTTCCATGTGGTAATTTCTGTATCCATTTTAAAGAAACAGGTTATTTGCACCATCCACACTTTGGGATTACTGGGTAGCTTCTAATTAAATCAGAATCCTTGAAATCTGGCCTGGGTATCAGCAGTTTTAAAAGGTCTTCAAATAGGGGCACCTGGGTGGCTCCGTGAGTTAAGGCCTCTGCCTTCGGCTCAGGTCGTGATCTCGGGGTGCTGGAATCGAGTCCCGCGTCGGGCTCTCTGCTGAGGGGAGCTTGCTTCCCTTCCCCTCTCTCTGCCTGCTTATCATCTCTGTCTGTCAAATAAATAAATAAAACCTTTAAAAAAAAAAAAAGTTTGGGGTGCCTGGGTGGCTCAGTGGTTTAAAGCCTCTGCCTTCGGCTCAAGTCATGATCCCAGCGTCCTGGGATTGAGCCCCGCATCGGGCTCTCTGCTCAGCGGGGAGCCTGCTTCCCCCTCTCTCTCTGCCTGCCTCTCTGCCTGCTTGTGATCTCTCTCTGTCTAATAAATAAATAAAATCTTTGAAAAAAAAGTTCTTCAAATACTGATTCTGATGAGAAGCCATAGTTAAAAATTGTTTTAAAATGTAGGAAGTGTGTGTGTGTGTGTGTGTGTGTGTGTGTGTGTGTGTGTTTAAATTTTAGTGGGTGTTAAAAGAGGCAGGGTGTGCTCAAAGCTGAGTGTCCTTTATAGGAGGGGCGTGCAAGCAACTCAGGAGTGTGCCTGCTCTCAAATGAATGAGAAATGCTTTGGGGACAAGGTGTCAATAGGCATACATTTTAATCACAAAAGAAATGTGTTCTGCCTTCTCCTTCAGGCCTTCTGTGTTAGTAACACTGCGTTAGGACCCAACACGTCCCAGCACCTTCATCTTTGCCAACACTGAGAAATTGCTGCCCTCTGTACAGAAGACGAGTTTTTAAAGCACCTAAATAATTGTCCAGGGTTTGCCTTTGATCCACGATCATTAATATCACTAATAAGCTCTCGAAAAGTGCGTGTGAATCTCAAGTTCACATGTGGCAGGGCAGTGGAAGAATGAACGCTTTTAAAATAGTTTGGCTCTGAAAGCACATTTGAAATAACCCTGTGGGAAAATCAGGAGAATTTCTCATCCTCCCAAGGATTACCTAGGATGAGATGCTGACCTTGTATTTTAAGTTCAGTTACATTTCTTAAAACCTCATTCATTATGCAGCCTGATTTATTTTAGTGGGCGAAGTAGGCTGTGGGAGGGGACTCCGGTGAAGTACAGTGTTCTTGTGGGCCTTTTGTTTTCGCCACAGTCCCCAAAAGATCATCTGTATTTCTTTAAAACACACATGCAGGCCAGCTTCCTCACGAGATTTACTACGGCTTTTCTCTCAGAAATTAGAGCTGAAGATTCTCTGGTCTTCAGGCTTCTAAGGCGATCAAGCCCCAGAAGGCCGAGTGTGCACGGGGTGAGCCGAGCCCTGACCTTTGCCGGGGAGAGGTCAGTTCAGCACGCAGGACTCAAAAGGGAGGAAGAAAAAGCAACTCCTCAGCAGGGAGTTTGACTTGCTTTAGGGCAGAAGAGATTTTATAAATAAGTTCCCAGTCTCCCACGCCCTCTCACCGGCTCTTCTATGACTAGTCCTGTCTCTGCGCTTAGATACACAGACACATGTGCACACGCACACATATACAAATGTGTATACACACACACACACTGGCGTGGGGACGCAGACGGAGCTCTTACTTCCGCTTGCTGCCTCATGTCCCTCTCCCCACCTGCCCCGGGAACTGTGGGTTGCCCTGGCAGAACCTTCTTCGGAGGAGGCAGGTGATGGATTGACTGGGAACTTTTCTAAGCCCAGTGGCTCATAAGGCCTTTTCTCTTCCTCCTTAACATGCTCAGCTGGTGAGAAGCATGCAGAAGGCTCTTTCCCAAAGCCACTGTGGGTGCCCGGGAGGATTAATACCAGCCAATCCATTCCTGTTGTCAGAGAAGGTGGAATGGTGTATTAGGGCGACCTCCAGCCTTGATGTGGCAGACTGGGTGTTTGGGATGTGTCCCAGCAGGAGGAGCCTAGAAGGCCCTTCTGTAACAATGCCAGAAGGAAGTGAGGCTTGTGAAGCAACAGCCTGGCTTTGATTTGTGCCTTCCCCTTAAAATGCTGCTTCCCTGATGAGCCTTTTCCTGGTGCCTCCTGCTCGCCTCGGTGACCATCTAGAGCAGAGTGGTGACTGCATGGGCGGACCCTGGGGCATCTGGTAAAGTGTCCTCTGGGGGCTCCCCAGGGAAGAGTGCCCATCAGTACGAAAGCACTTCTGGGAGCAAGATCTTTCCATGGCAGAGATTCAGGGGATCTGCTGTTGGGGTTCCTGTTTTGATGCTAATTATCTAGCTGGAAGAACCTTCTGGATCTCTGTACAGGCTCAAAGACAAGAATACTGTCCATCTGTGAATTTTCCACATCAAATTGGCTCGTTTTCTCTTGAAGATAGTATTCCTTAACACCGGTTTATCAAATTACGTGTTCTGGATCCTGATTGGATCCTGGTTCTGGATTCTGGATCCTGGATCCAGCCCGATTTGGGCTGTTGTTCTGCAGGTTTATAAGGTCTAATTCAGGCCCTGGTTAACACTTCAGGAAAGCTCACTGAACTTGAGAGAAACCTAAACTTTCTGCCACTGGCTCTGCATGTTCATTTAGGCCAGCTGCCCCTGTGAGGGCAGACTCAGGACAGAGGAGATGGTACTGGGCTTGATACTTAACTCTGACTCAGTCCAGAGCAAATGGCTGGCTGAGGAGGGAACTTCCTTCTAGGGAAAAGCTGCTTGGTGGTGGGGAGGCCATTACCAACTATTTCTGGGACGTCCGGTCCTCTGAAAACCTCATCAAGAAAACAAGTCAAACATCACATTCCGTAAGGAGAGAAAACTGACCCAAGACCTTGTGCCCTGAAGTCCTTCCAAGGCCAAGCACCTGGGTTACCTCATCCGGCTCTAACTGTATAAAAGGGTAGGGAGGATGGATATGGGAGACAGAACCATGTTCGATTGCTATCATTTAGAGGCTGTCAAGAGCTGTCTACACTGGCAGACCACACACTTGTAGTATTTAACCAGGAGCCAAGTTTTCTTGTGGTCCTGTAGTTCATTCTTGACTTGAATACACTACTCTTTCTGCTGTACTGATAGCAGGCACTGAACTGATTTGGGGAAAAGAGGATGGTTTGTGTAGCCGGGACCAAGACCACCACATGACGGAGCCTGGTACAGCTCCCGTTAGAGGAGAACTTCGCTGTTGCTGTGGAACAGCCACACACTTAGCACCTTGCAACATTGCAAATCAATGCTTTCACAGGTTCTGACACTTTTTAGCTGGATCCTCTGCTCTGGATCTCATGAGGCTCAGATCAGGGTGTTGGTCAGGCTGTATCTTCATCTGGAGGCTCAACTAGGGAAAGACCTACTCCCAAGCTCCCTTGGGTTTTTTGACAAAATTCAGTTCCTTGCCATTTTAACACTGTGGACCCCAGTCTCCTGTTGGTGATCGGGGGAATTCACTCAGCAACTGGAGGCCATTCTTGGGTCTTTGCCCCATAGCCTCCTCCATCTCAAGTATGGAGAAAGCCTCCCTTATGCTGAACCTCTCACATTTTGTGTCTCTGACTTCTCCTGAGACCAGCCAGAGGAAAAAACCCTGCTTTTAAAGAGCTTCTGTGATTAGGTCAGCCCCACTTGGAAAATCTCCATAATTTAAGGCCAACTAATTGGAGACTTTAATTACATCTGCAAAATCCCTTCACAGCAGTACTTGGATTAATGTTCAATCAAGTAACCAGGGCCCAGGAATCTCTGGGGGCCATCTTGGATTTCTTTCTACCTCCAGATCCAATGGCCCTTCCTTAGCTCTTCGCAGAGGGAAGCCCAGCTTACTGGCAGGAACAGAGACTGTCACTGGAATCTAGCTGGATTCCTTAATCTCTTAGTGGGCTCTACATCCTATGCCACAGAGCACTGTTCTTTCTTCTTCCTACAGCCCTTTTCACGAATATGAACAGTGGCACACATTTATTATCACCATTTCACGGATGAGGAAACTAAGATGCAAAGAATTTTATGAACTTTCCAAAGTTAGTAACAGAGCGTAGAATCCAGGTCTGTCCAACCCCAAAGGCCAGAAATTCTGCTGTTGGGCTGCAGCTGTGTGAGCTTAATACCGCAAAGGCAAACAAAACAAAACAAAAAAAAAAACAAAACAAACAAACAAAAAAAAAAACCACCGTGCCAGAAATCGGGAAGGAAGAGCTGTGATTGGAATCAAGGAAGTCTGGCTCCAGAGCATATGCTTTGCCACTCAGCAGACAGCCTGGCTTTGCACACCGAGAAGGTGAAAGCCAACAGGCTGCTCATCAGGCCCACGTGGAGGCACGGCACCCTGGAGGAAATGTTCAGGACCTCTTTTGTTGAGTGTTGTACCAAGAGCTCCCAGGACATGCAGAAATACTGGGGTCGTGGCTGTGTAGGCAAAGCCAGAGGTTTGGTGAGGCCTTGCCCACCCCCTTCAGACCTCTTCCCACTTGATTTCCTTTTGCTCACACTTTGTCCTTAGTTTTGTGCAAACCTGTGGCTGTTTCACATTTGTGCTCTCCCTTTCTGCATTGGGCCTTGCTTCCTTTTAAAAAACACTTCCACACACCATCCTGGCAAAGCCAGAGAGAGACCCCAGAGAGAGTCTATCTGATTGTTAACGTCCTGAACTTGGAGGGTTTATGTTTTGGTCTCCAGGTTGGGGTTTTTCCTAGTCGTTCAGCGTGGGTGCCTCAGCGCATAGGAAATTTTTGCATAATATGTAGTTCTGGCTTATCCTGACACGACAAACAGGTTAAAGATGACTTGTGGGATATATTCCTAATCCCTCTGTGGTGGGTGGGGAGAGCACGGGGGAGTAGGCTTTTTGGGGTGTTGGGTGGAGGAAGGAGAGCTGCCCATAGGCAGTGCCAGGAACTCCCAGATCTGCCTGTGCTGGCCCAGCTGTGCACTGGACAGGGTGAACTTCAATGCATTCAGGCTATGTGGATGTTAGTATTGTTCAATGCTCAGATGATTTTTCCATGAATAATCTGGAAGTAGCCTGCCAGGGGAAGCAGGAGTGTTTAGAGAATATGGGATGAAGCTGAATCACAGTTGCCGTCACCTGACACTGGCCAGGACCCTCCCAACCCCCTTTCATACGTGGAGACCAGCACCAACGTCCTGAGAGGTGTAAAGTGTGTGTGCTCGTGTGCGCATGCGTGTGTGCCTGCCATGTGCGTGTGCAGAGGAGTAGGGTGTAGTGAGTGGGGCTGTCAATTTCCTTTCTGAGCCTCCTTTCCTTCAGTCTTATGTTCTAGTTCTGTGAAGCAGAAACTGAGAAGGAAATCTGAAGCTGCCCAAGAACAAAGGAACCACCTCCAAAGGGACAGGGCTTAGTCAGCCTTTGGTTCAGAAAATACCTGTTGCTATCAGATTTATAAAGATGTCACTTTTCTAGGCGAAACCTGCGGGAGGCACCGCTCAGCCTGGGGACAGTGTCTCCTTGGCAGCTCTGCAGCCTCCCTTGAGGCTTTGCAGCCCCTTTTTGTTAATCACTGCTGTCCCAATTGTGTGCCTTTGAAATTCACACCAAAGGCAGGATCCGGACATAAATCTGGCAAATTCCCAGAAACTACAGCAACCCAAGCAGCAGGAGCTCGAGGTTCTAGTCCCAGCTGTTGCTAACCCTCTGTGTGGCCTTAGGCAAATCCTCCAACCTCTCTAGGCCTCAGTTTCCCATCCTGGGAAAATAATGTGGGTTGGAGCCTTTGATGGGTAAGGTTGCATCACTGTCCAGTGAGTCTAAGACGGAGGCTTTTCAACTGCGCATGTCTCGACCTTGATGAAAGGAAGCCTCTCTGCACTCTTCAGGGGCAGAGTGGGAGCCAAATCGTTCGGTTGCCTGAGTAGTCATTAGGAAGCCAGCTGCAAACTTGGATTCCCCTCGGGGACCATGGAGCAGCCCCACTGGCCCTGCTGGGAGAGCTTCTCTTTAAAACAAAGCTGTTTCTTTCATGTTGCTGGCATCTGCTTTTGCTCTCCGGATAACTCAACCTTCAGGTGCCCTGGTGAGGATACTGCAGGAGAAGGGGCGGGGCGGGGGGCGTGGTCAGGGAGGCAGCAGGCAGGTTCTTATTGGTTGGAGAACCTTCACTCTCTCCAAGTTTTTTCCCGACTTGTACGTATCCCAGGTTAATACCAGACCCATGCCTAATGATACATAATTTAAGACTTGTAAAAGTTGCCTGGGACTTGAAAGAAACACACTCTAAGCCAGGAAGGTTGTGCCCGGCATGCAAGAGCAAGTAACACAGGTGGAATTTATGTCCAAAGCAAGAGAGCCACGCCCTTTTGACACGCTCTCAAAGGATGCCGTGCGGGCGTGCCGTGGGACCTGGGGTCCCGTGAGCATCACCCCCACTTGCCCTTACTTTTAACCACCATCGGAAGGCAGCTGTTCACAAAGGGAAATTCGTTATTTTTAATAGTCCCAGAAATGTCTCATGGATATGAAGTGACGCAACAAGATTGCCCTAATGGTTTCTAACCTTTGTTTTTAACACTTCTGGGGCCGGCACCCTACAGAACTGCCCTGGGGCACCCTTCTGCCTCCAGTAACCAAGCTGTCTGTTGGCATTGCTGGAGACTGACATAGCCCAGGCCGGGATGTTTAGCTGCTTGTGGGGTGGAAAAAAAAAATGCTAAGAAAAATAATTGTTGTTTTTGCAAACTATCTATTTAAAAACAGAACCTCAGGAAGCAGATTTCTGTTCCAATGCTAGGATGAATCAGAGCTCACAAAGTATAAATACACATTAGCAGGAGGAGGCTTCCCATAACCCAGTGCTTGTGTGTCTTCCCAGACCAGGAACCTCTGAACTCCTGCTTCTTATTCCCAGTAGAAGCAAGGAGCCACAGCCGAAGCGGAAATGATAGAAAACATGGCCCAGCCCAAGTTGCAAGCTTCTGTAGGTCCATAGGAATTTTTTTTAAGTCTTTAAAGACAACTGGTGTTTAGTGACACACTCGCTCACTTTTGGACAGACAGGTATACACTGTTGAGGAAGGTGGGAAACCCATGCTCTTGTTCCTTGGTGCCTAAGAACTCTTACCAAATAAGTTAATTTTGACTCACTGACCCCTCAGATCAGCCAATAAACATGAAGCACTGAGACCACAGCTTGCTCAAGGGGCAGTACAATTATTTTACTTAAAAATGATGTCAGGTGGCAATTTAGCAACAAACTGGCTTGCAGGCTAATTAATTCAGTTTAACAAGGAGGAAAAACATTGTAATTAATGAAGAGCTTATACTTTAGTACTTCAGTAGAGTTGTTCTTAAATTTTACTACCCACAAGCTGGAGAAGAAGGGGAGGGAGGGAAGAGCTTGTTGAAAATACAGATTCTCTGTCCCCGCTCTTGGACCAGGCCTGGGACTCTACATGGAGAGAAACCCACGGTCAAGTTATGCTTCTGAGTGTTGCCCAGTCTCTCTGGACTTGTAGTCAGTTAAGACAGAGCCACCACCCACTTTCCAGATTTTACATCGTCTAAGTCTAGTCTCTCAGCACAGTCAGCCTCGAGTTAATTCCTTACTGGAGTTTCATGGTATGGTCTAATGCTGGGGCTCGAGTTGGTCAAGTTTCTGGACTAAAAACTTATTTCTCTTCCAGGATCTGCTTGAAGAGGGCCCAGAACATTAATGGGGAATGGGAAAGGTATGGAGTCCTTTCTTTTCCACCTTGTCCCCAAGATAACCAGGGCTCCCTTGCCTGATTACCTCTACCTGGAGAAAGGGGAAAACTGCCCTTTACGATCAAGGGCCTGGCTTTGAGCCATGCCCAGAGGAGCCTGATCTCTGCCTTCTCACTACTGAGAAGTCCTCTTAAAACAAATGTGAATCTCAAGATCACGTCCCTCCTGGAATAAAGAATTGCAAAGGCTCATTAAACTTTTTTTTCCCTCTTGGCACAAAAGCACTTGGCAACTACCCAAGGAATTCTGGGGTCCTGAAGAATCCAAGTTCACAAACCACTGGAGCAAGGTATTGCTTTGGGATGGTGTTTGAGTTGAACACTGCTAAATCAGATGGTGTCCTGGCTCAATGGGTCTATACCAGAGCACTCCCTCCCTCCCGGCCACCCTACCTTCCAGAAACCAGATGTTCACTGGCAGAGATTAGGGACAGAAAGTACTGCTACACCAGGGCAGGAAGATGTCGTGGGAATCCAGACTTGCTGGTGTCCAGGTCCTTCGGGCTGCCTTCCCAGCAAGCCCAGGCACACTGCTCTGAATTCTGACTCCTCAGTGCTCTCTGCTCAGGCACAAGAAGCTAGGGATATTTTTAAAGCCTGTCGCCCTTTCTTAAACAGACACCCATCAGAGAACATAGTTCCTAGCCTGATAGAAGACAACTTTCCCAAGGAAGAAGAAAAACCTATGCAAACCGGAGGTGGGCGTGTGGCCGACCGTGCAACGCTGGGGGATAGTTCCAGGGAGGGTAAACTTTGGCTTGCTTCTCAGAAGCAGAGGACTCCTGGCAGCTCCACGCCGCTGCTGGAAGCCATCCATGTGCCCATCCTCGCGGCTCATCCCTGGCTACAGAGGTGCCAGAGGCGAAGCTTCCCCAGCCCCACATGTGTTTTGGGGGGGTGGGGGGGCAGAGCCATTTGGCGTCTGGCACCAGCAGCCACAGGAAGAACCATAGCTCTCCTGTCCTCAACAGGTACAAATGGGCAACCTCTGGAACCTCCTCGAAGGCCAGCTACCTGGCACCCCACGGCTACGTGGTGAGGCCACCCAAACACAGACTCCCCAGGCACAAGTGAGGAGTAGATGGTTCTGACCCCAGAAGCTTCTAGCTACCACCTCCTGTGCATAAAACCCACCCTGGAGGTGTGCGCGTGCACAGAAGCCACGAGGGTGTGGTCCAGATGGCAGGACATTAATATTAGTCCAAGTAGCCAGGGAAAGAAAAAAGAAAAAGCTTGAAGGCAACAAATCTCCCTCTTCCTCCCCGAACACTAATTCCAAGCTTTTTAAAAACCCTTTTAGTATGGTGGGCATTTCCCGTGAGTGCTCACAAACAATTCACCTCCACACTACAGGCCGTTAACCCAGTGGTGTTTATTCAAGCAGTATTCACACTTGCTGTTGAGTAACAAGGGAATTAAGGCCCCCGAGATGGGGCTCACACAGCTCTCTGGCTTCACAGCAGCCCAGGGTGGTGTTTTTTGGTTTTTATTTGTTTGTGTTTTTTTTTTGTTTTTTTTTTTTGAGAACTTCAGCTGAATTTTGTGGCTGAAAAGGCTTTCAGTTTTCCCTCCTTGCCCCTGTCAAGTGCGGCCTATTTATCACACCCCGGTTACCAGAACAGACTCGGCAGGGTGGCAGAGGCACAAGGCAGAGCCAAGCAAAACTACAGGAGCTCAGAAGAGGCCACACTGTTCCATGTTTCATACAAAAAATTTAATAAATAGTACTTTTCAAAATTTATTGCCAGGAACAACACATCAGAGATGCATTTGTATGTTCATAACACTAATAGGACAATACAAAGTATCTTCACGGTCTCAGTGATGAAGCAACGAAATTAACTTTCATAAGCCTTTTTGATCTTCAACTTTGCAATAGCATTTTGATTTCCTCATTTAAGGCAGGCAGTGTACTCTATGGCAAATCTAAACAGTGATCTTACTGGACATTTTAAGGTTCAAGTATTCAACTAGCTTATAAGAATACTCCCTAAATGCAGTAGATAACGAAAAAAAAAAAAAAGAAAAATCTACAAGTGGTTCAGTATTACATACGAATGGTGAGAAGAAATCAGAATTTACAAAATAAGATTGGTGTGCTTCCAACTTCACACAATTTGATATTTTTAATGATATTCAACCACTCACGTTTTGGCTACGTAAAGTCGAAGCTCAAAGTTGTTCCCTTAAACTGCTGTGTAGCCGATCACCTGCCTGTCTCTTTTCAAGTCTAAAGCAGAAAAAAAAAAAAAAAGAAAAAAAAAAAAAGAACCTGCTGTTCTAGACTAATTTTCAAACTGCCTCAGTCAGTCCTTAAAACGTGTTTTAAAGTGATGCTATAAAAGGTGTTTTAAACATCTGACGTCGTACAAAAAAAAAAAAATTCCACCAGTATTCCAGGCACTGAAGCCCATCCTATTGTTTTAAACTATTTTCAAACACCTTAATTTTGGCTTATAGGCAACACGTAGTAAGAAAATAAGTTCAAAAAAATAAAGCCATACACTTACAATGCTATCAAAAACCTTCAACTCTAAACACGTACATATAAATAAAAAGGAATGATGTTTTAAGGCTCTTGATTATTAAGTTAATAAATCAAATATACACAGTGATTAATAAAAAAGAATTATTTACATAACTATACAAAATTCTACTTTGACACATTTTTCCTCTTTAAATTCTTCATTTTACCAGCAAATGCTGACATCAAAGTCCCCCCTCCCCCAACAACATCAACAACAACAAAATACAATAAAAAAAATAAATAATAAACTCATTTGTGATAGTTGCTGTGGTTCTGAGCTGCAAAGGCACTTTCAAATACAGAACTACTTGTACGTCATCATAAAACCAATATACAAAAACAACTCAAGAGTCAATAAATATAAATAAAAACTATGATCCTAAGACCGCATCACCATTGGGACAGCTGGCAGAAGTGGGAGCTCAAGGCCCAGGGGCCGGGCGTTGTCCGGGGTGCCTGATCCAAGAGCTGGCGGCTGTGGGCCGTGTGCGCCAGGGGTGGGGGGCACTTTGGACTGGCTTTTTGCATAGCTGTGAGATGCAGCATTTGATTTCCCAGCCAACCACAGAAACTACCATTGCCAGTGTAAGCCAGCTTGTCAAAACTTAAATTAACACAGGAATTCTAAGTCAATGACAGCCTCAGACTGGACTAGGACACAACAGTTGAAGAACTACAAGCCCCCAGCACCCTCAGACTCTACCTAGTGGCGGCCGCGCCCGCGCTCTGCTATACGATGTACTCCATCCGGTTTAAGCTCTGGGCACTTTCCAGGTCCCTGTTGTCCTGTTTGTTTGTCCAGTTTGGGTGTTTGGCTGGTGTGCCGTTGGGGGGCTTCTCCTCTCGGTCTACCAGCGTGTAGGCTGGCTGTTTGGCAAACCGAGCTTTCTGCTGGTGCTTGTCCATGTCGTCCTCCTCCACCTCCGAGTTGTGTGTCCTGATTTTTGACATTTTGGAGTTTTTGTTCTCGTAATCCTTGATGGGGACCGTGTTAGCCCCGTGCTTCTCGATGGGGTTTTTGATCTGGTTCAGCTGCTCCCGCACGTTGTTGGTGGTGTTGTCCTCGGAGGCTGAGCGAGCGTGGCTGCTGGGCTTCCGCCGCTTCCGCACGCACCAGTAGAAGGCCGTCACCAGGCAACAGATCCAAGCCACAGTCAAGACGGAGCTCAGCAGAGGAACCAGGAAATCTGTAAGGCGGGCACAAAACCAATGAGCTCTCAGAAGGAAAGGGAAAAAAAAGCCATCACATGAACAACAGAATACCAACACTGCTGCAGCTCCTGCTCGTCATTCCTAAAAGGGGTGCCATGAGGACAAGTCCCTTTTTACAACCACATATTGTCACTTCACAGCTTGATAAGCAAGTACAGGACCGGGGCCCTTGGGGACCCTGACCCGTTTGTCCCCAGAGACCAGGCGCAGCAGCAGCTCCTCGAGGCTCCTGATGGCCGTGTGGAGAGGAGCAGCTGGTTCGGTCCAGGAGAATCTGGCTCCTCGGGCCGCAGCTCACTAGAGGATCTGGTTTGCAGCATGACCTGCAACCCGATCGGAGCGCGCACAGCTCAGATGGCCCATATTCTCACGTACCCAGTGTCTCACCTCACTCGAACAATGAGGGTCAAAAGGTGAGCGTGGCTGTCCCGCAGGGCCATCAGGCTGCCTATCAAACCCGTGTGTCACGGTGCTTAGGCCAGACTGTCCCACGACACCAGAATGCCACGGCAGGGTGTGCCTGGCCATGAGCTCAGGGCACAGCAGTGCTCTGCCCTAGGGCTCCGCAGTGGATCTAGAGATGGTGTGTGTTCAGCAGGGGTGCCGGCTTCCGAGGGCACAGCGTGGTGGCCAGGAAAGAAGGTACCTCTGCCCATCACCCCAGGACCTTAGTCATGGCCGCTGGCCTCTGTTTTCCCCAGTTAAACGGTGGGGTCGGGGGCTGGGGGGGTGGTCCTCAAGAGGGGAAACTGTCAGCTAACGTCCCACCTGCTGGGTGGTGAGCCAAGCCGTATCGGACGGTCCTCCCTCCGGGGCCCTGTCCCCACCTGCCACCTACCCGCTCTGTTCCTTAGAGGCCGCCTCTGCACTCGCACTTCCGCCACGGCAGCGATAAGCGAGCTATTCCCATCCCGTTTACTGACGAGATCTATGATTTTGTCCGTGATCTCCTTGATCGGGTTTCCATCATCCCGGATGTCTTCGGCAGACTGGAAAAAGGAGAACGGTCAGACGCACGTCAGGGCAACACTCCACAGGAGCTGTCACTGAGTCACGGAACGCGTGGGCCACGCTCCCTCGCAGCGACCCCTGCCCGAGCGGTGGCTCACTGAAGTTTGCAAACCACCCACAACCAAGTGAGGAGGCGGGACCGGGTCTCGTACTTACAATGGCCACGTGGAGTTCATTGTTCGCAGACGGGGATGGCGCACAGGCTATGTAGATGGAATATTCAGCAGAAACGTTCTTTAAGATATTCAGATTCCTCAGTTCGCTACAAATGTGCTCCGTGGTGAGACCCTAGAATCACATTTGAAAACCACACACGTAAGATACCGAACAAAGAGGGGAAAAAAAACAAAAAGCAGCCGAGGTTCCCTTGGAAGTCAGGAATGGAAGCTCGACAAGCGCCTAGCCGGGGACGCTCCTGCTTCGCAACAAGCAGACACACCCCGCCAGGCCTAACCGAAAAAGCGCTGGTTCCATACCGGTGACATCATCTCCTTGTTGAAGGTGAACGTGATGTTGGCACAGTTCTCCTGGTAGTAGGGGTCGGAGGTGCACTTGGTCTTTACCGGCTGGAGACTGGAAGACCGGCACTCGCCCACACCCGTGCAGGGGCGGACGAAGCACTGGTCATCCAGGATCGGGATGCAGCTCTGCCCGCTGGGGCACTCACTGTGCCCTTTGTGGAGCAGGCAAGGTCGAGGGCCACACCAGACCTGGAGAGACAGACAGACAGACAGAGATGGAGAGGGCAGCTCAGGAGGAACGCCGGGCAGCAGCAAGCCCGGCACGCGGGCGAGCGGCACAGGCCCTCCCGCCATACCTTAGAGCAGGCGATCCTTCCGTTCAGACACTGGCAGGCATTGCAGTCATCGTCCCACCTGGCCCCATCTGGTATCACACTCCCCACGGTGATACAAGGTCTCCCTGAAACTGCAAGGTAGGATGCCTGAGTGGAAGGAGTGTCCTTTTCTGTTGGGCACTCTACTCTTCACTTCCTCCCTGTTAGGAAGGGATTACAGCTCTGCCCTGGGCCATGGGACAACAGGTCCTCTTCCCTCACCGGCTGCCTCGGCACGTGGTCCCATGACCACCGGGCTGTACCAGGGCCGCCTTTCTGTGGGGATGATGTGAGCAGAGTTGCTCACAGCTGGGCTTGGCCATTCACCAGATAGGGCTACTGGTCCACAGGGTGGGAGGAAGTGCCCAGAATAGACCTGAGCCCGGCCCGCAGCCCATTCTCACTACATCTGCCCTGCATGCCCCGAGCAACACGATGAATGCCTGCTGTAGGCCACGTCTTGGGATGGTTTGTCACAGAGCAGAACTGCCCGAGAGCCAGACTACAAACAGCTACCCTATTCGTAGGGGGCCCCTTAAGCTCCCCCGGTCCCCGTGACTCCCTCTGCACATTCCCCCCTCCATGTTCTCTCCCTTAGCACAGTGTGCGCTCGGGAACAGTCAGAGGGTAACTGCAGTGACTAGGG